AACGAGATCCAATTCACATGGAGGCATGACAGGTCAAATATGTTCTGTGTGTTTGAATGTTAATAATACTCTACTTCTTAAACGAGGTTCCTGAGAGGCATTTAGAAGTTGGTGTTCAAGTTGACAAATGTTGCTCTGGGATGGTCTATTTCAGCTGGGAGATCGGCATGGCCTCTGAGCAACATTTGTCAACCTCAACGGCTACCCCAAACATCTAGTAGAAACAACTATAGTCTCAACTCTCCAGCAGCAACAATATGACCTCCCTACTAAACCTGGACCTTCTACTATCAGAATCAACACACCCTATTATGGCCAGATCAGTCACCACATCAGCCGTCTCATAAAGAAACATCGGTTCCCAATTGCACAGATCGATGCTCATGCTGTTGATCACTGGATTGTCTGGTCCAGACTCGATTATTAACAGACCGCCGCCATATAGCTTGAATATTGCTGAGTGCGGCGTAAAACTAAACTCACTCACTCACTCATAAAGAAAACTACCAACGTCCATGTAACATTCCTCTCTGATAACACCCTGAAAACCATCCTGAAAGCCAATGGACGAGTTTCCTCTGCTAAGACCTCAAATAGACCCAGGGGATGCATATATAAACTGCACTGTGATTGTGAATCTTACTAATTTTTTTCTTTCTAAATTACCTTTTCTGTACTATCACATGCATGCATTTTGATTACACTTGATGACCTATAATAGTCTGTGATGAGGAAACATCATGGTATTGTTCATTTTCTTTTTCCATTCATACGCACCCTGCTATTTTAATTCTCAGTTCACTTGATTATTTAACATTTGCACGTTTGTTTAACGACGGTAATGTGTAAAACAGTGGTTACAAACCTGAATTTAAATGTCTCAGTATTAACATTATTTTAGCTTCCTTTACAAGTCGTTTTGTATTTATACGAATCGGGGGTCCGTTTCCCAAGAAAACGTGCGATATACATGTATTCGTATGATCGAGACTCTCCACTATGTACGCGAAGAAAGAAATGACAGCGGTGTCTGTATTATATTTTGACATGCTGCTTGACATCTGTGATACGTTTGCTTATTATGAAGGATTTCTAAGGGTCACATATGTTGAGTCAAATACCCAACATATTAAGAAACAACCTTTACGGCCATACATTAAGTGTTAGCACACAATGAACCTAACGTTCTTATTTCCACCATTGTCACATGTTTATGGTATTATACATGGATTCACTTTCTTCAGGAAATATTGCTGTCGGAAGACGTGCCACACAGAGCACAACGTTCATTGAATACAGTTACAGGACAGGGTATAAATATGAACAACACGAGGCCAGGCGCGGCGTGGATGGCAGAGCTACAACCGACTTCTATAGCAAACTATTCACTTGTACACATACGGCCACAGGAGATCAACACCCAACTTGGACTGTTCATCTGAACAACTCTAACACAGACAAGATACAACACATTAAGCTGTATCTACGTAAGGGCCGTGAGTATGGGTGGAAAATGTATATTTTAGTTTAGTTTTCAATTATAAATAGCATTGTGCTCAACTACTCATTATTCTGTGTGACTAAACCATCATTAAATTATCATGTATTGTTGATGTATTTCTTGTAATGCTTAATAACTGGTTCGTGCGGATGTGTTGTTATCATGGCTACTCGGGGTCCTCAGTAAACACTTGTTTGTCCTTTTAGACATGTCGCCAATCTATCTACTGCTTTATCAAATGAGACATCTGACATCAAAGAATGCACAATTTCACTTTGAAATGCAGACCTATTTAGAAACAAGGGCATGAAGATAAATGTTGGTGGACAGCTGTGCTTCCAGTGGTCAATGGACACATACCCACCTGCTATAGCTGATGTCAAATGTCAACAAGCACTGATAGGAAACAACCTCACTATACAGACAAGCGACTATCTCGCGTTGTGCGAGGTGCAGATATTTGGTAGGTTAACATACACCTATGAACATGTTAACATGTGAGCACAAGATAAACTCACTTATTTGACAAGACGGCTGCTTAGTGTAAGGTACAAGTCTCAAGTTAACTCTGACAATTATTTTGACAATTTGCCGAGAGAAGTGATGAAAAAGCGATAATTCATATCCTCGATCAGCATCAGGCTGCGCTCATGGATTTTTACCTGAAGCTGGGCAAATGTATTGGTCTCATTGACATGATTACAGATAACAACTCTCGTTATGAAACAGTAGATGTAATACATACTATGCCTTTGATAGTAGATTTTCTTCCTGTTTTCTTTTAATGACGGTGTTACTTTTGTACTGTTCAAAGGGAATTCTCTTCCCAATTTTGATCATCTATTGCTATCTATTGTTATCACTATTCAGTTTGCAGTGACGGCTGGTTTGGTGAGGACTGTGACAAACAGTGTCACTGTTCACAAAACACAGAAGTATGTGACAAGATCACTGGACAGTGTCTGAGTGGATGTGCTCCAGGATATATGGGGACTGATTGCCAAACAGGTGCAGCCTGAGCTTCACATAGATTGCATTCCGTAATATTGACATCGTTAGTTGTGAAAGCAACATAATGTGGAGGTGAATCCACCGAAACATGAGTCAGTTGAGGAAATATGTTGGCTGTGACAAACTAGTAAATAAGTCAGGGGTCTGAAACCCTCGCTAAAAAGCACCCGTGAAGATCCCGGTTAGAACTGGTCTTCAGCAACTCATGCTTGTGGTCAGAGGCGACTAACGGGATCGGGTGGTCAGGCTCGCTGACTTGGTTGACACATGTTATCGTATCCGAATTGCGTAGATCGATGTTCGATTATTTACAGACCGCCGCCATAAAGCTGGAATAATGTTGAGTGTGACGTAAAACTAAACTAAAAGGACGGAAGTCAGGAACGTGCGTCATATACATGTATTTACTGCTATTATCTTTAACATTAATGTTCCCCTTTAAATGTATAGAGTGCAACGTGTAAACTGTGTCAGTCAATATATATTAAGCGGGTAGAATGTAAATCATTACATGTCTTGGAAAGCATCGAAAACATTAAGACATCGTCAATACATTTGGTTTGTGTATAACATGTGCCTTCTTCGTTAATCCCGATGATGTCTCAGGAACATTTGTATATCATATTATCATAAACAGCAATGCTACATAAGGTTTATGTAACCCGTGCGTCAAATGTCTGATTTAGTTGAACAACTGATTCGTTTACTTCATGTGCAGCGTGTCCAGATGGTTACTACGGAAATTGCACCTCCAAGTGTGGAAACTGCCTCAACGCCGCTGATTGTAACAAGGCTACAGGCATCTGTCCTGGAGGTTGTGCAGCAGGATGGCAAGCTGACATCTGTCTTCAACGTGAGTACATTTCATTTTTATTTTCCCAAATTGGCTAATGCTCCCTTGTATCAACTAATGTTTACATATTATTGGTTGTACGTGAAGGTATCTGTCCAAGGAAAAGATCAATGTCATAAACCCAAATCTGTACTTAGTTAATGTTCCTGTGATGGTTTGAACTTCGAATTCGCCCTGACTATGGCGGTGGGGGAGCCTAGTAGTTAAGCGTTCGCTCGTCACGCCGAGAACCCGGGTTCGATTCCCCACATGGGTACAATGTGTGAAGCCCATTTCTGGGGTCCCCCGCTGTGATATTGATGGAATATTGCAAAAAGCGGTGTAAAACTAAACTCACTCACTCTTATCATAATGATATATGGTCAGTATGTCAAGATGTATGGTAATGTATGAACTATGGACTCTCAGTATGCACACTGTGTTTGTAGTCATGTGTGTCACAAGTCAACAGGAATGTGCATTAGAGGATGTGAAGAAGGATGGGTGAACGATACCTTTGTTGAACGTCACTGTATACAATGTAACATACGTTATATTTGGGATTACACTTTCTTAGGAAAGTACGGATTAAAGTACTTTTGTTGGGTTGATCCCCATCCGGGATTCGAACCCACACGATCAGAGTCTGGCACCATATCTCCAGCAGACAAAGCCAGCAGCCTTACCCGCTCAGCCACCGCGAGTTCTGTTACATCTGATTACTTTCTAAATGGCATTGTGTAATCATTCAATGTACAGAGTACAGTGCCGTTCATGTACACAATTCCATAATATATAAATATACTTATGCCTTTCATGATAGAATAATGGTATAACTTTCTTTGTTTCTAAATGAATATAAATAACTGCACTGTTTGTAATTTTTTACCTTTTGGTATCTACATGTGGTCAACATCCCGTGACTTGATGTTTCTAATGTTCTCAATTCCATCTTGTCAGTTGCGAATAAGAGTGATTTTTTCACCAAAGTAACTGAAACACTTTGTCTATATTCACAGCATGTACAGATGGCTACTATGGTCCGAAGTGTGGCTTCCAGTGTGGCAACTGTGTGGATGGTGATGTTTGCATCAAGACAAATGGAACATGTCCTGGAGGATGTGCAGCGGGGTGGATTAATGACACGTGTAAACAAAGTAAGGCACCCCTGTATATTGTATGAGGTGAAAATGGAAACATGCAGGGGACAGACAATATCCACTATCAAGTTCTGCAAAGTGTTTCGTTTAGAGGTGAAAGGCTAAATTATGTCTTACCTTTTGTACTATTTAAATACTCGTGAACTTAACAATTGCAATGAAAACAGCCTCTAACGGGGACGGTAATATGATGTTCTTACTGACATTAGTATACCTACCTGAACAGGTCAAGTATGTGGCATCTCAAAGAACATTCCATTTGTCATTGTTTGTTTGCGCATGCGCTCACATATCTATGGGCATTTATTCTAAGTATTTGTGTTATATCTGTTTTCTCACGTCATCTAACGGTTGGTTACTCAAAGTTCAGTCTGTGCATGAATTTAACTTCAACGTTGACGGGTATCGTTTATAACACAGATATAAACTTACGTATAATCTAACACAAATAATCACAAGTAAATGAGTCTTGGTAATGCCATGCTGGTTATTTCAGTGTGTGAAGACGGGAGGTACGGCAGCGGTTGTATGTCAGAATGTGGTCACTGCAGGAACGGCACAGTATGTGACAAAACTAACGGAACCTGCGGGAGTGGATGTGATGGAGGGTATTCAGATGCCCGTTGTGAGCGTAAGTATGTACATATGTGTCTGAACTTGGAACGGAGTGAGTGAGTGAGTTAAAGAATTTGGAAAGGAAAAGATGTCCAGATACACAGGGAATATATTACCTCTCGTTACAATCATAATCATTTTGTATCAATATCTGGAAACCCTAAAATACCGGTTGCAGGATTACTATCGAAACGGTAATGGTCGCCTATATCGCAATGTTGTTCGTATGCTATGTTGACCTTGTAAGTGTTAGATATATATGACACAAAATGTAATCCATTTACATTTGTACGTACACATACCTACATTGTCAAAACATAGAACACAATCACGATTTACTAACCAAGGCTTATAATAAATTACATTGATTATTTTGTTTCTCAAATCGTTAAAAACAAAGTAAGCTATTGAAAATAAAGTTGTAAATAGTGTTTGGTGCTGACTAATGAATAACTTATTTAAAAGAATGTTGACCATTCAAGTAACTGCAGTATAACAAATGACTTGTTAAGGCCTGTCAGTTACTGATGATAAAGAAGACTCTATGGCTGGAATAATTGGAGGGACAGTTGCAGCTCTGTTGGCCATCGCCATCGTCATAATCGTCGTCGTTATCATCTTCAGGCGGAGGTATGAGCACTTTTACAGGTCGTGCCTTTACATTAATCTCTTGTGAGCCTGGATGGTGTTTCCATAAGTATCACATCATATTGTCAATGTTTATATGAAATCTTTGACATCTCGACCTAAAGGTCATTTCAGCGCGGTAGATGTATCAATTGCGTTCTTTTCTCTTCTATTAAAGGAAGGAACCAAAACATGACAACGAGAGACTGCAGTCCACGAAAGATATGACTAACTTAAAAATCAGAACTGGTAAGATTGGAGTGTTGTTAACCAATTAAATTGCTGATAATGACCCGTATCCTAGGTGAATTTATTCGTATAACCCACGCATATTGGAAGTAAAATACTAATTAAATGAGTACACGTATAAAAATAAGTAATTTTCCTTCACACTTTGATTTCCAACATCCAATGGTTAGTCCACTGAACTCCTCGTGTTATCTCAAGTTTACACGACAGCGGTAATTTGCTAACTTGTGTTCCGTAAACGAATATTGTGTAACCACCATACATATGCAGTACAAATACGGGAATGCCTTTATTTTATAAACTTTGGAGATATGTGGTTTGGTATGGCATGACCAATGGCAAATGGCATTCTTTTGTTTGTTTGGAGTGCATAAATGGATTCATGAACTGTGAGAGAAGAAGGTAGTTTCAAAACATCGGGAACGTTTTCAGAAAAGGCAACCAGAAAGAATCCCAGTTCAACACCGCCGACAAAGGACGATGAGGACGAAGATGCAACCCTAGGTGTTGAAACTGAAGTGGACGTAGTTAACGACGCTTCCGCCACCTACTACAACTTTGTACCGCCTCACATGACGCTGGGCACTCTGCAACAGTGTATAATTGAAAAGAAAACTAAGGCTACTTTTCCAACAGAATTTCAGGTTTGTTAAAACTAAATACAGCATCCTGTTTGTACATTCCACTTGGGTTTTGAAAACGATTTGAACAACTTAGCGCTTAAAGGGTATCGTCATGTGGAAATCACGGATGCCCAAGGACTATCATGCAAGCAACTATTTGTTGCTATAGCTGGAAGAAAATAACTCACAAATTGTATTGCATAATCTGCTATAATTGCTCTTTTTATGCAGAGTGGGTTATCCCTTGCTTGCCATTTATACCAAAAACAATGTGTCACACAATGATTAAATACAGATATTGCCCACACGAGAATATCTATGTCACGTATATCACATATACATGCATGTCCATGACGCACATGACTAAGCTCCGCTATATTAAGGATATCTATGTAGCGTATATCACAAATACATGCATATACAGACAAACTTTATGGACAAACAACTTCTTTATTCGGTAGATACAGATTCTTGTATCGTTGTCAAGCAAGTATGAGTTAGGTAGATAACAGGTGACTATATGTACAGTAAATAATTAACTAAAACAACAAGGACGTGAATTGGGATGTACAGTAACAATGTGATGACACGGGATTACAAGTAGAACCCAGTGACAAGGGATAAAAGTAAAAAGTACGGGTGTTTGTACAAGTAATACAACCAGTTAAGGTTGGTTGATGAGTTCATCGTACGCAGAGGGGATGAAGTAACCTTGGTCTCTATTGATCAGGGGTCGGTGTCGTTTGATGCGGATGGCTTCGGTTAATTTTCGTTTGGTGAAGTCAGATTGCTTGGCTGCCAGTATTGTGTACTCTGTCCAGTTGATTTGATGACTGGGGTTGTTCTGTATATGTTCAGAGATAGCTGATTTCTACCCGACTTGTTTGTAGACACCTGATGTTCTTTTACTCTGGTGTTGATTGGTCGTGATGTTTCACCAATATATGATTGTCCACAGTTGCAGTCTATTTTGTAAATCACACCCTTGGGGATTAATTTATCGTTGTTGGTGTGATTGCGCCTGCAGTAGGTTGTTGAGAGTACGGGGAGTCGAGAATGTGGTGTCAATATCCACTTGTTGCTTCAGGAGCCTGCAGTAGGTTGTTGAGAGTACGGGGAGTCGAGAATGTGGTGTCTATATCCACTTGTTGCTTCAGGAGCCTGCAGTAGGTTGTTTAGAGTACGGGGAGTCGAGAATGTGGTGTCTATATCCACTTGTTGCTTCAGGAGCCTGCTGATCTGGTGTGAAGTCTTGCCAATGTAGGGTATGGATACTTTTATAGGTGCTGGTTCTGGCCTAGGGTGTTTGGTTGATAGTGTGATGGTGGATAAGATAGTCCTGTTGGCTAACTGGGGTGAATAGTCATTGGGATCAATAAACGCCTCTTTAAGATGGTTTAGTTCTTGTTGAAGATTTGTAGAGCAGAGGTTTTTACATGCATGTCCATGAAGCACGTAAACGCGCTCGTCTATACTGCGACACAACATTGAGTGAGATGAGAAGCTAAGGAACATGTACATGAATTTGCAAGACTGACAAAATAGCCCTCAGGAGACATCTAAATACCCTGTACGACTTCCAATATGCTTAATGCGAAAACAGGATCACAAATGATCATTGACTAAAATTACCACGGCTTATGAGCAGTGAGTGTATGTGTTTACAGCCTTGTGCTTAACCTACCACGTGTCTTATAGGCCATCCCATATGGAGCGAGACACCCACATACCGTCGGCAAGCAGCCTGAAAACAAGAAGAAGAACCGTTTCCTTGCTCTTTATGCGTGTAAGCTGATAACTGCAGATGAGATTATAGCAAATTTAGGAATACTGGTAATATGTGACAAGTGTATATAAATATATGTGCAGTGAGTTTAACATTAATAAATGTTAAACGAAGAACATTTGACATCAAAACATACGTAGGTGTGTATGCGCTTTTGAGGGTATTGTAGTAATAACAACTAGATATCAAGACTACTTCAAAGTAACTAGATATCACTCCAAATATACAAACTGATTGTTGTGTTCTCCAGATGATGAATCGAGGGTAGTGTTGGCAGATGGGGAGGACTACATCAATGCCAATTACATCTATGTAAGTAAACAGACAGCAAAGACGAAGAATAACCAATCTCTGGTATTTTCATTAAACGTAAAAGACAAAATCGTGATGAACTTTAGGGGTCACTGAAAAAAACAATGTCTCGAAAATGGTGCAACAGTCTCACCAAACTAATACAAGACTGGGACAATATCATGGTGATTCGTTAAGTCCAGAAAACAATAAACATCTAAAACTACTTGTAACTCTGTAACGTAATTCACGAGCCTCTCACGATGTTACATGGAGGCAGAGGTTCATGTGATGTATTCAGTATATGCAGACAAAGTGTAGACGCATTTTATGTTTTCAGGGTTATGATGATACTCAAAAGTACATAGCCACACAAGGTACGTTAGATGTATTAACCTGTTGTACAATACGTGTGTGCAGTAATGGATGCCTTGCCTTGTATTAAGTAGTGCTGGCTTGCTTTGCATATGCTAGAAATAGAATAGATTTGGCTTGCCTTGTATTAAGTACAAATGACCTTCTTATACCTAAACAAAATATACTGACACCACAGGACCCAAGCCGGATACAGTCACTGACTTCTGGCGGATGGTGTGGCAGGAGGACGTAACACAGATAGTCATGCTGACGAGGCTGATGGAGTTGAACAAGGTAGGATGTGTTCCATGGTTCCTTTGACTATTTGGTGAATTATCTACATGTCTGTCCACTGATGATTTGTGTCAACATATCTAGGAACCCTGAAGTTGGTGATTTCTCCTAAAGCAAACTATGAATTAATCCAGTTATTGGGGTTTTCTGTGATTTGGGTTTTTTTAATTCTAGAAAAAAAGTGCGAAATATTGGCCTGATGCGACAAAGACCGAAACGTACGGAAACATTCGGGTTAATAACAAGGATATTACAACAAGAGCTGATTACACAATCTCTACTTTCTTGGTGCAATGCTCTGTAAGTGTATGCAATTTTGCGATGACATTATATTTTAGATTATTCTCATCTCATTAACTGTTGTAACTTTAAACAAAACGTACGTTATTACAATTAAGGCAATTAAACTACAACAGCAATTCTTCTGAAGGAACACCTTTGATGGATATGTCGGATGTCGCATGTCTATTGCAGTAAAAAAGTGTTCCCCTTCATCATACAAGCTTCTAAATGCCACTTAAGGAAGAGAAACAATTCTTCTTGGTCTCAAGGCTCATTTTAGAAAATGTAAAAATGTATGTAAATGTTTCCCTCAGGTTTAATATATCTTAATCAGTACAAAATACAACGTTCTCGTGTTTACTTTGTACAGTTTTGAGGTATTCCGCCTGAATAATAAGTTGATTAACTTTGGTTAATTAATTTTATTGAACGATGGATTTGTTCATTTGAAGTCTGCTCTACACAGGGTGTCGAGAAAACTGTGACGCACTGCCACTTCACGTCTTGGCCTGACCATGGTGTTCCTTCTGCTCCTGCCCTCGTCAACTTCTGGAGACTGGTGAAACAGGGGGATATGGGCTGGGGACCCATGGTGGTGCACTGCAGGTAATTTAAAAACATCTCACAGAGATAGGCACACAGGTGTGTGTCAGAGGTGTGTGTGTGGGGGGGGGGGGGGTGTCACTGTGGTGAAACATAATGCTGATTGTTTGGTAAGTTGACACTTGACTGAATGTTAAAAATATGTTGACACAGATATACACTCACACACCTGTGTTATAAGACGCGTTGCAAAGATCTGCAGTCAATGCTAAAGATAAAACTATGAAATATTTATTTGTTGGCATGCTTACATATGTCTTCTGTAAATGGAATTGATTTCATGTATTTGTCGGTACATTAATAGTCTTCTTAGCTAGTTAATGTTATGTTAAGATCATATTTAGCAGCCTTCTGAATGGTTATTATTTACGACTTACTTACTATGGGGAGAATGTCCCCAAGTGTGTCAGGTACTTCATCGGCTAAACATAGATGGCATGAGATTAGCATGACCTGTACTGTTTACGTATACTCATGTTTCCAGTAAGTATTCTTTTATCTTGCAAGCGCTGGAGTAGGAAGAACAGGAGCGTTCATTGCCCTGGACTACCTGATGGATGAAGCTGAGGGTGACAACAGGGTCAACGTCTACATGTGTGTTGGCAAAATGAGACTATACAGGATGAACATGGTCCAGACGGAGGTATGTTCATGATGTATCAATATCAGCGCAAATACATCATAAACCCTGCTAGTGAATTATACGCAGTGAAGCGGGAAATAAAATGACACCCAGACCCGTTTAATGCTAAACATGGATTAATACAAACGTTCGGGCGTTCAGGCGTTCTGTTAGGTTTTGTAGAGTGAAGGAGTCATGCGAGTAATAGATGAGCTGCTATTACCTTACCGCTTGAGTTACCGCTTGAGACGGCGAGATTGCATTTCCCGATGCCACACATGACATTGTGAATCTCTGAGATTTATTTTGATAGGTACTGCATCCTCTATAACTACAAATAAACACTTCGTTTCAGTTATCCTTCATTTATAAATGATCTATCTGCAGGTCGTATGAAGATACCGTTCCAATGATTCTATGATGCGGAAATATACTATATTATACTCTGATCAACATATTCACGCAACATACTGACGTTCATCACTTAGGAGTGTGTCGAACTTACCCACTATTGCCAATATATTGACATGAACCATATACATGTATACATAGTAATGACTGTTTATTCTTTCTGTTCAGAGTCAGTACGAGTTTGTCCATGATGTCGTCCTCGAAGCACTCCACAGTCGGGGAACACTCTACACTTTGCCAGACTTCGACAAAACATTCGGCCTCGGAGAATCCTTCACCACCCAACAGCAGGCCATGCTGAAAAAGGAATTCAAGGTATTTCAGTTTAAGTTAAATTAGGTCGACAAGAGTCCCCGCTGCAAAATTATTCTAAGTATTGAAGTCCGTGACTGCCACGTAGTAGATACAATTCTAGGTATTCCAACAGCAAGATAAAGTCCTTGTCGAAAACAGCAGGTCATGCTGTTGATGCAAGTATTTCCACAAGGTCAACAGCAGGACATGCGGAAGAAACAGTTCAAAGTGTATTTCAACAGCTGGATCAAGTCGTTTTTTGCTCACTGAGGTACTACATGTTTCCTTTATTTCAGTTACTTAGAGAGCTATCATCTAACCTTACAGAAGAGGCAACATCACATGCACTGCTTCCAGAGAACTCGGACAAAAATAGGAGCTTGGATATTCTTCCCGGTACAAACAGTTTGTCCGAAGTCAAAGTATCAACTTGTCTTTTATTCATGAGTACCATGTAACGAGTAAGATGAACACAGTCGTAAACGAAATGTAATGGAATGGTTTATTTTCTACATACGAAAGATGTGACAAAATAAATGATCCATTGAAACGTTCTAGTTCAGATGAAGCACATTATGCGTGTGCAATGCACATGATGCTCAGATAATGGCACTATCTCTCATCAGATTATACTACGATGTGTTTCGTTAAATACAAAATACCAACAACAATTCATTGTCATAATTATAACATATGCCGTGACGAATAAATAATAACATGATCTGTTTAAGGAAATAATTCAAGGCCGTATCTGTGTACACCTGTCCAGAAGCGAAATGACTACATCAACGGAGTTTTTCTACCAGTGAGTCGATTATAACCTTCAAGCTACGGGTGAGGTGTTGTGAAACTGGGTTTAACGTCGTGCTTGAGAATATTTCGCTCATATGACGATGTGCATGCGAGTGTATGTTTATGTACGGCTGCTTGTACTAGCCCAGATTTAAGTTGGTTTTATAGTGCTAGCTCACTGAGATACCATGCCGCATGAGATACCATGAATACCCCACTCAGACACATTATACTGACTCCGAGCCGACCAGTCCTTGTTGTCCCCATTAATGCCGAGCGCCAGGCAGGGACCAACAAGTACCATATTTTAACATCTTTTGGTATGACGCGGTAGAGGATCAAACCCGCGACCTTCCGCTCTCCAGGCGGACGCCCTAACCATTTCACCACGGAGGCGGTTTCAAGCTACGGAACAAAGACAGATCTAAAGTAGTGTCGGAAATAGAAAAAAAACTGTATTTTCTCATTTATCTCTACAATTTATGTAGTTGATATGTGCAAGTGTGAATATAACTAAGTTCGGCCTAACTACAGTCTCAGTGGTAGGGACATAGGAAACGTAGAAAAAGGACTTTTCTGAGGAGAGATTAGTGCAGAAATGAGCAATGCGATTTTTTTCTATGTCCAAAACGATCTATTTGGAACAGACCATGGCTTTATGCAAATTAGTGTGCGACGATATTGTATTACAAAGGACACTTCTTAAATGCCAAATTTGAAATTGGACGTAGCTTCATTATAAACGATTGCTGGCGTAAAAAATAATAACTTTCATGCTGAAACTGTTAAGGATATAGCTTCCATGGAGTCTCACTGTCACTATAAAAAGAAACAGATAGGAGGGTTCGTCTCAAAAGCAAAACCTGGAGGGGCGTTGCAGACGATCGTTGGTGTCGGGCTAGGGGATAGAGTATCAGCTAAGATAAGATAATCCTTTAAGGCAATCAATAGGTGAGACATAGTCAGCACACATGAAAAAGCACAAATTATCTTTGAGATGCCCCCTTGTGCCTGTAGGCAGCACATGCATTTCATGCCTGGAGAGTCGACGGTCCGTCGTCATACCTGGCTGAGCGACCTTATTGCCATCTATAGTCTATTGTTTTCAGCAGCTATTCGTAATTTTTTTTTAAGTTTTGCCCGATTTTACGAGTAAACATGCTTTTCAGGATATCCTATTACGCATCCCACTGAACGCCAAGTTAGCCCGAAGTGGGTTATTTCGACATATGCTATTTGCAGTTGTGTAAATCTAAGGGATACAGAGTTTTTTTCTATTTCCGACAGTACTTTAGTGACTGTATTCTAAAACCGTTTTTAAAAATACGGTTTTGCACGCGATCTTTACACATATATGTGAAGGGATGTTTTGTGAGGTTACTTCCAAGTAACATAATTACTTAGGCACAGCATCCAAACGACGATCCGAAAATAACTGAGTTTACTCCAATCTCTTAGAGACGGAGGACATTGTCAATCCCTTGATACCAGTAGCGATAGTGTTATTTTTGTTTCAGACAACTCTGCATCTGTCAAGCCTGATCGTCACCCAGACCCCGCTACCAGACACTGTGGTGGACTTCTGGAGACTTGTGTATGACCATGACTGTTTCACCATCGTCTGTCTGGATGACGCACAGGTAAATATTTGGTGCAATATCTTAGTTTATTATCAAGGTAACAGTCTTACACATTTTTTGCATCGTGTTGGCGGTTGGTGTCATTACTGCACTGGGAAATATTTCAATCCATTCAACGACCGTTTTCTCTGAAGACATTTACGTCACCAGACAAACGTTGTCTGATAATCACGTCGGTGCTTCTACAAAACAATATACATGACTTCAAGTCATCCCATAATCACGGTACATTGATTTTATTAATTCAGCAAGAAGAATGAAATCTTTAGCTTTGTTTTGTTAGAACTGGCACGATTTGACAGAGAGAAATGACGATGTGCTTTCATATCGAAATAACACTTTTTTGAATTTTGATTTATTGGACAAATAAAATTGATATATCCGAAAATGGGTAAATAGGTATTGTCTGATAACAAATATCCCATTGTCTCCTCTAGTTCGCATTTTTCTCTCAAATAGGCCACCTCATAGTTACCAATAACATACTATTAGAAACACAGTATGTCCAAATTCCAGATTGTTTTTTTATGCAGGAAACAACTGTTGTCAGATAATCAGGCCGGTGCTTCTACAAAACAATACACGTGACTTGTCATTCCATAATCACTCGGGAGATTGAAATGTGCGTTGATTTCATGAATTCAGAAAGAACAATTAAATCTTTAGCTTTGTTTTTTTACGACGATTTTTTCTCATACAGGCCACTTCATAGCATACTATTAGAACTAAACTATGTCCAAATTCCACATTGGGTTTTTTATGCAGGAATCAACTGGAATGTACCCTGAAGAAAACAAAGTGCTCAAACAGGGACCATTCAATGTTGTGCAAGTGGAAGCGGATTCAAACAGAGAATTCTACACGGAGAAGGAGTTGACGCTTGCACATGGCAAGGAGGTCTGTTAATACTCATCATGTAATGCACTATCAGAAAGTGATATCACCAATGACAGAGGGGTTGTTTTGAGGTTTTAGTCACGTTGTATCTGATACATCTCGTCCTTACTCTCAGCATCTGATACAGAAAAATGTTATGATCGGTCGTCAGAAGATAAATCAACTTAAGTTTGATTTTTTTTTTACATTTCGTTGACAGGTTTTCAAGCCATTGTGAAAATATTGTTGATTTTCATCATCGTGATGAAGGTATTTTCCTTCACTCATTTCATGCACTCTTCAAACTTTACTGCATTTTCTGATTTCATTCAATATAACATTCAATAACATAATTTCATGTAATGAAACAGAACAGCGAGAAGTCGATCAGTGTGTTTTGCCTCCAATCACTGGATATTCTGACCAACACTGAAGCCCTTCACGAGCTAGTCAGTAGAGTGGACAGGATCATCAGCTCTGCTGACCACAAGGTTCTGGTGCACTGCCAGTAAGTTTAATGTGTATGTTGTATATGGATTAAGCGACGTATAATTTACTCCATCGAGCCAGTTAGGACACTGATGTACAAATGTACCATTACTAGTCCACTAGGTACAATGATAACTTTCAGAGATATGTGCGTGACAACAGTATTTGTCTTGTGAGCGAAATCATAAGGTCAGTAAAATAGCTCAAAGATTTAACCTAGGCCACAACACATAACGTCATGATATTGGCGCTGGGGGTGCAAAATCAAAATGGGAAGACTAGAAAACAGAAAACTGGATTGCTTTAAGAGTCCAGAATATATTTCCCTTAGTGCAAGCAGGGAGACTCTATAAGGGGGAGTGGTCACTCCTCGGAAAGCTCCTAAGCTATGCCTCGGCCCGTCACGTGACCAGTGCAGCCAATATGGCGGCAGCGTAGTTTTTAAGATTGAGCCCGGTTTATTTCAACAGCTGATTACATACACTGAGTGTTGTGACAACTGAAAACCTACATGTAGAAGATAAGTTACCTATTCTGTCACTTCATTTTAAGTCAAATACTTGTTATAAGTGTCAGTATAAGTACAGTAGCTTTGTAGTAAAGTTTCAAGTGGGCATGTTGTAGCTCACTGGCTTCAATTCTCAGTACACAGCGAAGAAAGACTAAATTATATCGCTAAAAACTTCTTTCACATATTCGTTTAATTTTTAGAAGGGAAATATACCTTTAGTTAAAAGGTGTTTGCAAGTAATAGTGATATTTTTATAACTAAAAAAAATTGTTAGGGTGTATTTGAGGTGTGTGAAAAATATGACATATCGCCGATCTGCCATTGAAATACTACAGGGCGTTGTTTGAGTGTTTCTAGTTAGTGTTCAAAAACATCTTTCTCATACACCTTCAATTTTTATGAGGGGAATATACCATCAGGTGAAAGGTGTTTGCAAGTAATAGTAATAGTTTTATAATTTAAAAAAATTGTTAGTGTGTATTTGAGGTGTGTGAAAAATATGACATATCGCCGATCTGCCATTGAAATACTACAGGGCGTTGTTTGAGTGTTTCTAGTAAGTGTTCAAAAACATCTTTCTCATACACCTTCAATTTTATGAGGGAATATACCATCAGGTGAAAGGTGTTTGCAAGTAATAGTAATAGTTTTATAATTTTAAAAAAAAAAAAATTGTTAGTGTGTATTTGAGGTGTGTGAAAAATATGGCATATCGCCGATCTGCCATTGAAATACTACAGGGTGTTGTTTGAGTGTTTCTAGTTATTGTTCTAAAACATCTTTCACATACACCTTTAATTTTTATGAGGGGAATATACCATCAGGTGAAAGTTTTTTGCAAGTAATAGTGATAGTTTTAATTTTATTTTTTTTTAGTGTGTATTTGAGGTGTGTGAAAAATATGACATATCGCCGATCTGTTCTGATACGCCATTGGTGCTTGTGATGCTTGAATGTTATAGTTCTAAAACTTCTTTCTTTCTTGTTGATCTTAGTATTTGACAAAACTGGAAAGGTGTTTGCAAGGCTTTGTGATAGTTCTAAACTTTCTGTTCTTGAGGGGTCTGTGACAGTGTCAGTTAACATTCTGTCAATGCCCATGTCATTCCACAAATGCAATAAGATATCTGAATTAGTTACTAATGTAAAAAAATGTCTCAAAGTAATTTTTTTGAAAAAGGACAGCTGATGTTAACATGTGTTCTACCGATAGTTTTGCGTTCTTTAACATGTTTTGGGAGGGATGGCCGTGGTGTATCATTTATTCTTTCATTCATTCACATATGTTCTTTTTCTTTTGTTCTTTTTCTTAATTTCTTTCATTCATTCACATAAAATTCTTGCTCTTAATTCATTCATTCATTCATTGTAAAATTCCGACCTATACAATACACTGGCTGAAGTACTGTTAAACGCAGCCGAAGTTGCGCTGGGACCGAACCAAGTCACTGTGTGCGTTGGAGCATGACGAGGCACACGTTAATTAGTACAAATGGTAAAGAAAGCAAGCTAGTGACCTATCCCTGTTGTAGAGTATCCCTGGTGCAAGCTACATATGTGTACAGCCTATAACAATATTAAAAGGCGATAGGATAACTTGATATATACAGTGGACTCCCAGTGGACTTTTTTTACCGGTCCCCGAGTCCAATGCACAGTTTTTTTACTTGATATTGCTGAAACAAATTTAAAACTGTACTCACTAGTTCATTAAACGGTAGCATATGTCAACGGTAGCATACTGTCAGAAAATCGGAAAATATCAACAGTTTTCGATCTTGTCTCAAAACCATCCTCTTCAAACGAGCATTCGTTTAAGCGCACGTGAGCAGGACTCTGGATATGTAGAGCTATACAAATGTCTAATTTGATTTGATTTCATATTAGAATGAATAATATAAGAATTTGCCTCTTTTGTTTTCAAACGATGCCTTATGGCGACAGCCTTTTCAATACGTATCAACCATCATCCAACGGAGTGTTCTCATATGCTTTTTTCAATGTTTTCAATCCAGTGACGGCGCCGGAGCGAGTGGTGTGTTCTGTAGCGTCCTGAACATCATCACCAGGCTGAAGTTGGACAGAACAGTGGACATCTTTCTCACCATTCGGGAACTACAACGTGTACGACCCCAGTTCATACAGACCTTTGTGAGTAGCTACGTCATTTCTGACACGCTACTGTGAACTACTTAAATCGTGCGAGTGGTGTAACTTTGTAATTTGCAACCGTTCACATATCAAGGACAATAATAACCAAGACAGATATTACGTTCAACATCAAGTGATTTCACATTATCACGTAAATGTTATACATTGTGTCCTACTTCGGTTTGGTGTTTGGGTTTAAAGTGAACACTGTTTAGTTATTTTATTTCACAATTCTTTTGAATGGTGCACATCTGTTTCTGTGGCATAGAGTGGGAATATTGAACAATCATGCCGGAATAATTTATATAATGGACGCGCTGCAGTTGGCTATAAATAGCTGGGTGACACCAGAAACCTATGGTCTTCGGTTTGAATCCCGGTTCGTCCCAGTTATGTCTCTAGGTTTGTCAGCACCATGTCCATCCTGGGTTGACTTCAGACATTAGCCTCTCTCCTGCCACCAAGTGCAATACTGCTCTGAATTCCCCACCTTGGCCATTGCAAGCCACTGTTGCGTTGTCATAACGAGCAATGGCAATACGGTTTCAACACGTATTTCACAAAGGCATGTCTGTAACGTTTGAACAACTTTCATTGTTTCTGAATTGATTTTACTACTGGAACTATCAATTTACTAGTATCTTTGTCTGACTATCACTGTATATCATTTGCAGGATCAGTTCAAGCTGTGTTATAACATGGTGAAGGAATACAACCGTGCCTCCAATGTCTACGCCAATCTGTGATAAATGTGTAATAAAGGTTCTCCGTATACAGAGCAAAAGAACAACAACCTGTCTGAACCAGACAGAAGATGAACTTACCTTGTGTTATTAACTCTTTATTTCCTGTACATGCTGTGTCCATGTTAATGGTTAAGTATAGCACTGAAGAGATTATATGCACTTTTACCCAATACCCAACGTATAGTAAATATATTTTGATTTATCTCGCACCTTGTTAAGACCGCTCTGTATGTTAGTCCTATCATGTACCTTCTTCTTTATTCTAAGCAATAAATGTATACTAATTGTCAATTCAATAATAGTTCATAACATCGGCTTGAAAAACTGGACATAGCGTACTTTGATTGCATTGAAAGATGATTGTATCTATAAGCAGGGTGAGACGTCGTGATGGCGTCTTCCCGGAATGCCGGAACCGGCTTCATTGCTTTACATGATTAGAATGTCTTTTAATTGTCACATCTATTTTTCTTTCATTTTCCTTAGTATTACAGGCACCGCCCATTACTAACCCCTACATGTAAATTGTACATTCAAATTTTATACGACAACAACGGATTAGTTCAGCAACCGCAACATGCCGGCATTCCGGGAACAAACCGTCGTCATAGCGCCTGGTACCAATGGGACTCAGACAATGTATAGTAGAGTATGAGGAAACCTATAATGGAGCTATATATGTATGTAGCATAACACACAAATAATTTATCTTTTTGATCTGCACAGGAGACTCAGTCCACATCCCTTGTGCACGATACATTTGCCAGAAATGATCCAGGCAGGAGAAACTTGACTTTAGCCTTTGGAACAAGAGTGCCTTCATTCAATACCATTTTATAAAACTTTTTCGATTTGTTAATCTTCGTTTGTGCGTAACCATCCTCAATAGAACACCTTCTTGCCAAATTCTTGATAATGTACTTGTTAAATTACATGTAACTGTCTCATTTAAGGAATATACATCTCTTGATGTTCAGTAGAACGTGTGTTCACGTGTTCATGTGGCCATCTGTTTGAAAAGAAGCCTTACACTACATCACCTTCATCGCACAGTTAAACAAATGTACACTATATAACTAGTTAACCTAATGCATGTGTCAAGGATCACAACTACAATATCATCAAGTAGCTACAAATAAGGAACAACCTGTATGTTATGTAGAAATTAAAACCGTTTCGAAGAAAAATAAACAAGAGGTGTTCTACACGTTTTCTGTTTGTGATTGGTGTCCTTAATCTTTATCGGTAAACTGTTTGATATTAGTAATTTGGTCAATACCCCGAGGACGTGTTAGTAACTAAGTCAGCAAGTAGTCAGTATCTCACAGTCAGTTCGCTCATATACACAGAAGCCTCTGAAACCAGATAACACTGAATATGAATGATGCAGGCCAGACATAAGATGTTTATGCAGTGGTGAGGTTTTGTAACTTGACTGTGTCCATTAGTGGCGGGCCGATTAATTGAAATAATCGAAGATTGGTCGCAGGAACTAAACGACCAAGCAATCGAACATGTTTTCTCGTAATCGAACACAAACAATCTTGGAACACTTGTTTGCATTAACAATATTTTTCACAAGGCTGGTTTTGTCAGTGTCATTAAAGTTACATTTCATAAGCACTACAAGCTCGTTCCAAGTCATGATTGAATTTATCTTAAAGAATCTAGGAAATATGTGTTCCTAACATACTAATCATCATTTAAATATGCAAAATTTGCAAATGGACTTTACGCAATTTGCAAAAAAACAAATTACTACATGTTTTTTCTTTATTTTTGTGTGTGCATTAACAAAAATAACAGGAACATTTGATAAATGGCGCTAACCAATTATTTTCGATGACTGATCGGTTGTAATGGATCAATCATCAATTATTAGATTTTAACCAGTTCCCCACACTAGTGTCCATTACTGAGAGCAAGTTCAGGTCTTGTATACGAATCTAGTTGAACATGTAAAGATATTCAAAACTATATATATTGACATTTAAACAGCATGAGATCATTTGGTTAATAAAACATAGCATATTCTACACTTCAGTCTAATTCTTTCCCAGGATTGGAATTCTTTACTTTAGTAACACATGCTTACACAAGTGGCTACAGCGTTCTCTCGTCTAGCCGGAGACCTGAGTTCGAGTCCCTACATGGGTTAACGTGTCCCGCCTGGGTATCTGCTGAATTATTACTTGAAGCACAATCACCCATTCAGTGAGGTATATCGCCAAAGGGCTACAATTCGTCACAAAAAAAGACGAATAAACGTTGAATTTTTGTACTTTGGCAGCAATGTTCAAAGGCTATTACGAGGTGATCATGAGACACAAGACTATAGCATTCTTCATTGAACCAAACTCGGGATTCGAACCCGGGATACCACATTTACCACCAGGAATAACGTCATGGCATTGTGCAATCACCGGGAAGTTAATATGACCATTGTGTCATCCCCTCGAATCTCCGTGGAACTATCCTCATCATCATCATCATTTATTTTATATAGATATAAGTATTTAATACCCTACCATTTGTCACATCTATTGCTCTCCGCCTTTGAGTGTAGATACCAGGACCTGGTATTCAGGGTCAAATTTTCTTTTGGAAGAATATAATATAGCACTGACACAACGGATCCAGTGTATTTGAAAGCGAAGATCATACTTTAAGTAACAAGCACAGCAAATGTGGTGTTGGGTATCCATTCGTTTCGTCAAATAATTAAACAAAAATAATTGTATTGTTATATTCATTGAACTTCTTTATTTAACACAGAACCCGTGAAGATCCGGGTTAGTCTTCAAAAGGCGACTAATGGAATCGGGTGGCCAGGCTGACGTGGCTCATACAAGATGATGATGATTATCGTATCCTATCGGTGCTCATGATACTGATCACTGGATTGTCTGGTCCAGACTCGATTATTTACAGATAATCTCACTGGAGTATTGTTGGGTGCGACGGTAAACAACAAACAAACAAACAAACAGTTTACGTTGATTGGGATATGGTTTCTTCTGCAGACAGTTTTTAGGAAAAGAAAGTGAAAAAATTTCAACACAAGAAGGGAAATGGTCGTGTTGCGACCCATTCGTCACCACTCGCCCCTTTCCGTACCTCCAAGAAGACTCGTCCGCGTCTCGATGCTTGGTATGTGCGAAAATACGACAAACCAATCAGAACGCTCGTAATGAGTGCGGTGCTTTGATTAAAATAATCCCGAGTACTTAAATCTTTTATGGCATTGATTAAAAAATCATGAAAAATATATATCGTCACTTTGAAAGTACAAAGAACGTAGCTAACAGAATTGTTCTGCCAAATGTGAAGTTTTTGATAAGAATAATGCGATTGACGATTAGGGATTCAAATACACACATGTGCGTTTGTTTACATAACAGCTCTCATGGAGGCAATTCAGTGTATTTCTGACGATCTTACGGGCTTGTTTTGGAGATTGTTTTGGAGTTTCAAAACAATAATATCATGTTAATATATTACTAATCAACTTTAATCTTTAACATTTGGCTTATATTTCACATTTCTGGGGATATTTCTGATAGTTTGGGGTTTATTCATATTTCTTGTTCCTGCGCATTCATATTAAAATTCCACCAGAGGTATGGCAACAAGGTAACACGAATGTTCAGTTTGAGAAATATTTAAAGTCATTTTTGAGGATATGTTTAGGATTTAATGTAGCTGAAAAAAATATTATTTTATTTTCATATTCAATATAGCAAATTGCATTTGGGATTCTTAAACCCTATTTAGAAATATACATTTGGAAATATAAGGTGAATAGCTGCTAAAAATTACGTTAGAATTTGCGTTTTACAAATAGTTTCTCCTTTGTATTTTTTGTTTATTTCTTGAAAATAAATAAAGAACGAAAACAAAAACGGCAATATAATGTACGAATGCTTCGGTGATATTAAGTACCACGGGAATCAAACAGGAGTAAAGTTATCGTTCTTGTTTAAAGTGGTTCTGATGTTCATGCGCCAATTTGAAATCCTTCCAAAGGGGCACGAGTCGCTATTCGGCTTGTCCCGGAATAACACGGGTTGGTCACGAACGCAATGGCACCACACAGTTCATCATTTCTCTCAAGCCCCATAAAGTCAGAGAGGCTCTCACTTCTGCTGCATGGCCCTTTTATATATACAAATTGGGTAACTGTGTTAACATTAGTTACATATTTATTTAACACCAATTATCTCTGGCTTTCACATGTGACCAAGTGAAAATGAAATACAAGTAGTGAGTGAGTTTAGTTTTACACCGCACTCAGCAATAATCGAGACTGGACCAGACAATCCAGTGATCAACAGCATGATAATCGACCTGCGCAATTGGGAACCGATGACATGTGTCAAAGATGCCAGCGAGCCTGACCACACGATCCCGTTAGTCGCCTCGTACGACAAGCATGGGTTACTGAAGGTTCATACTAACCCGGACCTTCACGGGTGGAAACATAATGAATTTGAAAACGAAACATAAAGCATTACTGCATTCAAATTAAGTTTATTTCTAATCAGGATTTCGTCAGAGTGACAGTAGTTTTGACGTATGTCCATTTATCAATATAATCTGTAATATTTCATAATAAAACGATCAGGTATAAGGATAGATATAATGTTTATAACGTTATGAGCCAGGAATAGTGAAACATAGCTGCGGAAATGTTCGCATATAATATCACATGAACTGGGTTTTTATGTCACGGATGAACAGCTTGACCTGAGCTGCTTTACATATGCATGACCCGGGAGGTCAAATGGCACAAACGGCTGGTCGAGTTAACTTCATTAAATAGGGGGACAGAGAATGTTGTTATTGTTGCGTTCGTGCGAAACATGCATACATGGCTTCGTTACAGAACTTGTCCCGGAAAACAACACTTCTGAAAAAACAATCATTTCATGTTTTAATTGAATTGTTTTTACAGTCATATGCTATCTAGTTTGGTTTACTAACTTTACAATGTAAAGTCAGTTACTTTCAGAATCCGATTCATTCTTGCTATCACTCTCTCCACCCAGTTCAATTATCACTTTTTCTATTTCATGTTCAACTGCAATATTTCTGTCCCAGTAGTTGCTTTCCAATTTTTCAACATGGGCACAGCAATCAGTCCACTCGTTTACACCAATTACAAGAAACCTCGCCTCAGCGAATTTCCTAGCATCGGTAATACTAAAATTTTCACATTGGCCCATATAAGTTCGATTGGGTTCAGATCTGCGTGGTATGGAGGTAGCCTGATTCCTGTGTGACCGTGTAAAGAAAATAAGGACATTGCTGGCGATTTCTCGACACTGAGATGTCAAACGGCGACCTTGTCTCTGCTGTTCGGACATGTTGCCAATCAGCTGACAAAGGCGCGCCCCTTCACAATAATAGACCCAACCAGTTGTGACACGGTCACGCAATGCATTAGTATTCACTTGATCAGGTCAAGCTGAACAACCTGTAGTTTCAGTGTGAATTTAAAAACAAATGAAGTGACCAGAAAGAACAGCACAAGCGTCTGACTGTCGTTTTGAAATAAACAAATTATCCTACACTATGTGGAAGAATGAGCAGTTTCAGACCCACGGGCTTCTGTTTTATTGTTGTTAAATGAAGAGTAAAGTCGAATTTTTTATTATAGGATATTCATATAGCGCACACATATCCACGCAACTAGTGCATGCTCAAGGCGCTGGTATTTTTCCCCTCGACCATCGGATGTCAATCTCAACGGCACATCGTATTATCTATCTCAACTCCCTGGGGAGTATACAACTCTTGCAGCCACTCGGCGCACCGAGTTATTGTGGCTTTCTCATCCTAACGAGGTACCCATTCACAGCTGGGTGGACTGGGACACATAGTCACAGTACTTTGCCCAAGTTTTACTGCACGAGGCTTTACCGCAACAAGGTGTTTGCACGTATTCATGTGGCCACCATCTGGTCATATGCCAACGGACTCGTGGGTTCTTTTCAGTGCACAGGGTTGTGTACAACTGTAGGTCTGAAATGTAAATGTATTAACATTGTATCGGGTTTCATCAAAAACAGACCCACTCACACAGCTTTCTGTGAGCTCAGGTTGCACTTCACTAAATCAGAATCCGCAATTTAACAAACACATTTGGTAGGGCGCCTTCAGCGCAGACAGAATCATCTGACAGCTGTAAATGGGTAATTTTGTGTAAGATGTTTGTGTTTTATCAAATGTACATCCACCCAGTAATTCATTGATTGACTGATTGCCGATGACCCTGTAAGTAAACCTGAGTTAAAACATAACGTTATTATGGAAGTCAAAGGGATATATTTGGTTTTGTGTAACCTGAATGGACACATCAATCATGGAAACTTGCTTTATTATTATACCAGAGGATGGATGTCCACATGAGTCGTAATCAGTAACCCCATGTTATGACCACCCGTCTGCTTCATTCAACAAGAATATGTCGCGAGGGTTTCATGCAAATCTGCAATCCCGCATAAGCATTGTGTACTTATTAGTTTTACATACATGTAGTAATACACCATGTGTGTATGTACCTGATATACACTATTGGTAATATTTTCCTAATCAAAGAGACTCGGGAAAATCAGGGATTAGAATTGGTCTACAGCAAAAAATGCTTGTCGTAAGAGGCGACTAACGGGATCGGGTGGTCAGGCAAGCTGAAATGGTTGACACATGTCATCGTATCCCAGTTGCTCAGATCGATGTTCTTATGGTTGATCACTGGATAGTCTGGTCTAGGCTCGATTATTGACAGACTGCCGCCATAGCTGGAATATTGCTGAGTGCGGCGTTAAACAACAAGCAAACTAACCAAACCTAAGAGGAAAATCCTACACTTCTCACGGACATATACAGGGACTCTTATACTGATAATGTTTCAGACGATTGCACTCATCGGAAAAGTCAAGGAGGAACCCTAAAATTAGTTAATTAAAATTGTGAAACAAACTTATTTAAATATCGTATTGCACACAACACATTGCACACAACATACAACATACATTAAATCAGTATATGGTAATCATCATCAGTGACCAGCATGATATATCATGGCAAAAACGAACAGCGTTCTGTGGTCAAGAATGCATTAATTTTACGAATCAAACAAGTGCACTTGTATACATGTATATGATTAATCACAAAATACCAAGGACCAGGAAAGAGTAAAACATCAAGTGACATTACAGATACTCCTGTTTCATACTGTGTTATAACATGACAAAAACCTTCTGTCGATACAACTCACGGTTTTGTTCTAACATAGCAGCCCTCGGTGGTATCTTTAACATTAATGAAAGTGTTTTACATACAAGCATGTCTAAGCGTTCTTCATATATGAAACTATAGGAGCGTGGTGCTTGATATGAACACCAATATATTTTGAAATGATACAGGAGAAATTCACAAAGCTTATATTACTTTACGAAATACATAGCAAAAATGTACGGACATCTTGTCACGTTTTGTTTATATAGACAATTATATACATGTGCAACTATGTATAGATTCAACAAAAATATAGAAATGTAAAAAAAAACTCCCACAATCCGTACAATCATTTACTGATGGATACTCAGGCTCATCTGCGACGATAGACCGACATGTCTTCGCATCTACGCCATCCATGCAAGGTTCCCAATCATCCTGCTAACCTTGGTGGCACAGTATCAAAATCGGTGTGGCCACAGGTGCAGGCTACACGGTGGACAACAAGACAATGTAGAAGGATCCGTCATTTACGTCAACGCAAGTCGTGCTCGAATCGTGCAGTAATTCGTGACCTAACATGAGAAACTACGTTTGTCCACACTCAAAACAATTTACTTAACGAAACACTACTCTTTTAGGTTGTTTGAACCGCCTCCGTGGTGTAGTGGTTAGAGCGTCCACCCGGAGAGCGGAAGGTCGCGGGTTCGATCCCCGACTGCGTCATGCCAAAAGACGTTAAAATATGGTACTTGTTGATCCCTGCCTGGCGCTCGGCATTAATGGGTACAACAAGGACTGGTCGGCTCGGAGTCAGTATAATTTGTCTGAGTGGGGTATTCATGCTTCACGACATGGTATCTCAGTGAGCTAGCACTATAAACCCAGCTTCAGTCTAGGCTAGTAAAAGCATCCGCGCATACACATACACACGCATACACGTCGTCATAGGAGCTAAATATTCTCAAGCACGACGATAAACCCAATTTCACCTCACCTCACCTTTTAGGCTGTTCACTGGTCACGAAGATCATTGCTGATCAACACCTCAATGTTAATTTTGAGCTGTTTGAAGTACGGGTATCGGATCATTATAAGAAATACCAGAGTTAAGCAATTAGCCAATACCAACAACAGTCAAAACACTCACATTTTCTCCCTTTAATCGATTTGCATTCCCAAAATATCGGTTATTACCGTACGCCATACGTGACACAAATATTCGAATTACCAAATGAATTCCCACAGGTCGGCATTCCCAGCAAGTAACTTAGAAAATGTTACTAGCTTATATGCGGGGTAATAATAGAAGAGCGCTCAGCCAATCAGAAAACCACATTTATGTGTGAGGTAAGATAAATATCAATATACATCAAGACAAGACGCTTTATGCAACTATTCAGTTCAAATGCGGGTGTGAGAGTCATTCCCTACATTAATATAAGGAGTGGTATTGTCAATGGGTTCATATGTATTCTCCATAACCGCATCCCTGGTCTTCTCGTCTAAGGATATGTAGTTATCTTCGGGTTTCTTTTGTTGTGAGGCATCCAGTTGAATTTTAAGTCTGCAATATACAGGAATGAGCTGGCAAAACTTAGGATGATTTATTCCATTTTACTTTACTTTACTTTACTTTGAATGCACAGGAAATGTAAATGAGTGAGTTTAACTTTACGCCGCACTCAGCAATATTCCAGCTATACGGCGGCGGTCTGTAAATAATCGAGTCTGGGCCAGACAATCCGATGATCAACAGCATGAGCATCGATGTACGCAATTGGGATTCGATGACATGAGTCAGCGAGCCTGACCACCCGATCCCGTAAGTGACCTCTTACGACAAGCATGGGTTACTGAATACCAATTCAAACCCGGATCTTTACGGGTTGCACAGGAAATGTAACAATGGTGATAGGACAAAAAGGAAAGTCTCCAATGCAAAACCATTAGCATTGAACCTGTTACTATTGCCCTGACAACAAATCCTATTTCCATGTTCATAACATCTTTTGCACATTATCCTCCCCTTACCTTCTGATGTAAATGATGGCTGTCAGCAGAGCGATGAGAGCCAAGACGAGAAGTGTTCCAAGTGTAGCTGCAACTGGCACTACCTGGTTTGAGTATCCTGATGTTGCCGGACACTCTGTACAACCTAGTTTGTGAACACACACAAGTGGTTGGTGGTCCTTTACAGTCTACCTTGATATGTCCTATAAAGTTACTAAAAGGAATTCTGTAATATATATCTTGTTATCAATTGTATGGATGAATGAGCAAACATTTCAGAGAGCGGACTACAAACTGTGAAAGAAAGAAAACGTTTATTTCATAAATAGTATATATTTTGATTTATTCTTCATGAATAAGCAAGTTTCATTTAATTATTTTCACTTAGTTTTCATTTTGTTTTAGTGTCCTTCCCTGACACAGGGGCTTCATGAAGTTACCCTGACATCCTTCAGGACATTCTCCACTGGACTTATCACAGCTTAAGGCGTCTTTACACTGACCACATCGGGACATGCAGTCATCCCCATACATACCATCAACGCATTCTGGGGAGTAGAGGAGATATATTTTTCATATAACCAAGTTACTGCTATGATGTAATGACAAAGTTGTCTTATTAAAGCGACCATGGAAAAAGACTGTTTATCATGAAAGTTATCATGGAGTAACTTCTTTCACATTACAAAGGTATCCCGCCTTTACAGAAGGGTTCTTGAAACCCTGGCTGACATCCTTGATGACATGTTCCATTGATCTTGTTACAAGGCAGGTTTCCTTTACATTGGCCACACTCAGTCTGACAGTGATGTCCATGACGACCGTCACTGCAAGCTGTAAAGATATGATAAATCATCAACAAACATACTCAAAGTTTCCAGTTTACATGTACAGACTAAGTACCTACCTTGTGAACAGAGATCTGGCAACCATCCTGACTGACATCCTCCAGGACATTTCCCTATCACCGTGTCACAAACGTCAGTGTCCATACAGTGACCACACGGAGACGTACAATTGGCACCATAACGTCCTTCTGGACATGCTGTAGACGTAACATAAACACGTGTCATAGTCCAGGCAATTGTAAACACCTGTGATTCAGTTAATAATGTGTCCATTCTGTGAGCTTGAGACAATAGAACATGAAATGTCAAGGACAGTTGGCGGATAGTCTCATTTACTCGTGACATGTCTGGCGTCTGGACAGGTTAAAGGCAGGCATATAATCGATTACTCTTCACTAGGAAATTTAAAAAAACATGTTAATAATGTTCTTATATGCTCTGGTTTCTATTTACATGTAGATTAATTTAATGATTGTTGACACTTTCAGATGTTCATTCAAATCGGGAAGATAAACGCTTAAGCAGTCGGTTACAAGAAAGAGATAACCACTCTTCAGTCAGACCTCCTAATATACCTTCTAATTATGGTTCTTTTCATTTTTGGCAACCGTGAGATTCGTTTAGACATCTGATTTTCAATATATAGCAGAGCCACAGATAACTGTTTGGGTCATTGAGTTATGCACTCGCTTGTGTTCATCTCAATTGGGTATCCTCATTTTCCTTTGAGTAACCAAATAAATTGTACCCACCTCATTCAAACTCAATTGGGTATTTTGCCATATTCCATTAATTGTAAAAATATAACAAAGTTTAAATGTTATTGATATTGGATATGTAATATGAGAAACGATAAGAAAGACTGCAAGTTGCCAAGTTCATGTGTTGAAATAGAACCTCTGAATATACATCAGTTATTTTATCTATGCACCGGTACGCAAGCTAACATTCGACATTTTTGTGTGTAAGCATAAAACATCAAATTTATTCAGTATTTACAAAATTTCAAGCGTACTTGTACGCTATAGACTTAATAAGAATTGAGTTTTCACATAAATATTTGCGTAATTTACGCAGATGTGCAGCTTATCTGTACCTCTGTATAGAATATATATTCTCAACGAGCTTTGAGAGTATTTGAAAATAATATTTCAGGCTAATTTTGAAAGCATTCTATATCCGTTTCAGTTGTGGTGGGACATTCCATAGTTATATATGCCAGTGCAACAACAGCTCTGTTCATGTTCCCCCAAGGGAAGCAGTACATTTGATTTTATCTTACCTCACACATAAATGTCGTTTTCTGATTGGCTGAGCACTCTCCTATTATTTTCAATGTACCCCGCTTACAAGCAAGTAACATTTTCTGTTATCCGCTGGGAATGCCGAACTGTGGGAATTCATTTGGTACTTCGTGTTTGTAATTATTTTTCTCGAGTAATTGAGTCACGTATGATGTACGGAAATTATCGATGTTTTGCGAATGCAAATCGATGGAGGGGAGATAACTAAAACTTTGTTTTTCTTGTCAGGGATATTCTGTTGTTGGCAGCAATTTTCTTTCTACAGTCAAGCAGATTCACATTGGACAGGGATGTCAAATAGGATGATATATTTCTCCAAAACTGTATGGCAAGAAAGGTGACTTCAATAGTGTTGAAGCGCTCAAAAGATCTGACGAGACCCGTGGGGGATGTGACCATAACTGCCCCATCAGTGACCAAAATCACTTGTGATGCGATGCCTGTTTCAACCTGTACGTGTTTGCTTATCTTTAAACATGTGAATTATATCCGCTTGTGTTCCTGACGTTTGTGACCAATGGGAGAGGTTCACACTCATCGTTTCGAGACACCCACGAAGATGCGGGTCAGCAACCCGTACTTGTCGTAAGTGAGTGAGTTCAGTTTTACGCCGCACTCAGCAATATTCCAGCTACTAGTATATGGCGGCGGTCTGTAAATAATCGAGTCTGGACCAGACAATCCAGTGATTAACAGCATGAGCATCGATCTGCACAATTGGGAACCGATGACATGTGTCAACCAAGTCAGCGAGCCTGACCGCCCGATCCCGTTAGTCGCCTCTTACGACAAGCATGGGTTACTGAAGATCAATATTCTAACCCGGACCTTCACGGGTCTACTTGTCGTAAGAGGCGACTAATAGGATCGGATGGTCGGGTTGGCTGATTTGGTTGACGCATGTCATCGTATCCCATCACTGCATTGTCTGGTCCAGACTCGAATATTTACAGGCTGTCACCAAATATACTGAGGGAAAAACATATGGGATCACATGAAAGCACATTAGTGTTCCTTTCTTGTTTTCCATGTTTCTTCACAAGATGTGAGATACAAGGCTTGTGAAGAATCCTTGGGAAAAAACAAAGGAACACATTTGCTGTTTTGTGATCCCTTATTTGTTTTCCCTCAGTATATAATATAGCTGGAATGTTGCTGAGTGCTGCGTTGATAAAAACAAACAAAATATTGTTTCGCGAACACCTGCTATTTATATCTCTCGATAGTGACTCATACACACATGACTACAATGAACACTGTCACGCATGATTATCGAAAACCCTTTCCCAACAAATCCAAACACAAATTTATATGAATGAAAACAAGAAGACAAAGTCATCAATATCCCCCGCAACGGCAAAAGACTCTTTATGAATATGTCTACTAGTTATGATTATGTCAAATGTTTTGTATACAGCAAAGTGGAAGGAGGGTAATGAAAGGTTTTTTAAGATCTGCTCCAGAAAGGAGCACTGCCACCAAATTCTGTTGAAGCCTAACCTGTTGTGTATCAAGTTGTGTACTTTGTTGTGTACATGCTTGATATGTGTACCAAGTTTGATGATGCTAGCATGTATAGTTTAGGAGATCTGCTCCGGACAAGAAGACATCTTCATAGCCACAGCCTAAGATACGTTTCCATGGAAACCACAAAAAATCAAATTCATATCTGGGTCTAAACCCCAAAAGGCACGTCTAGGGATCATGGTTGACATGTGTACCAAGTTTGGTTAACTATCACGAATAGTTTAGGAGACAGCTTTGGACAAAGTGTGACGGACGGACGGACGGACACACGGACGCAAGGACGGACGGAACTCGTTTCTATATCCCCCGCAACTTCGTTGTTACGGGGGATAATAATGGGGGAATATGTACAAAACCACACGATTGTGTTCCACCAAACAAAATGTACTCACGTTGAAGACATTTGTCAGTGTGCCACCCTGCTGCACAACCTAAAGGACAGATGCCTGTGTCCTTGTCACAATAGGCAGCGTTGAGGCAGTTTCCACACTTGGAGGTGCAGTTTCCATAGTAACCGTCTTGACACCCTTTCCATGTAATAAATCAGTTCAACTGTATCAAACATTAGACATTTCATACATTCAATGTGTCATGTGTATATATTTGTGAAATTTGTATATATTCATTTTGAGGCCATTTTTTTATAATAAAGTTTCATCTTATCTTATCTCATCTTATCTTATCATAATGTTTATAATATATGTTACACATGTCCAATACATCAGAGGTATTTACGATAAAGGCAAGAGTAAGTAACAAATTCCTAGCACATGCCAGATATGAACGTAAGTAACCGTTTATTGGAGCTGGCGAAAAGTATTGACAGCGTCTTTAATTACTGACGATGCTTGCCTAGATATATTATGATTTACATTCTATGTGCTACATTCTGGCTGACAGACTAACAATAATACACAGATTTACATGTTGTTCTTCGTGATGTTGAATGTGAACGTGTTGGCTTAAGATCATAGCAGCATCACCACTAACATAATGTTGCAATCACAGGGGTTCGAATCACTGTTTGGATAATACATGTAATAGTTTTAAATAAAAATCTAGATTTTTGCTACCGTATATTGCTTTTAATTTTATGAGTACCTTATTTTTCAAATTTGAACAAAATCGGTGAAGAAATGGATTTTTAAGAAAATTCTCCCGCTACACTCATTACATAAAATACACAAGGGGTGACACTCGAAAACCGGACAGCCCGACTATTTTAAATTTCATTCACTTTAAATATTATACATTCATTCTTCGTACCCCAAATTCTGACTTTAGTAGGATTTTTTGGTACTGTGTTATGAAAACATGATGTTCCAAAATGAGTATATGCTATGTAAGAAAAAAAACACGTGCGTAGCTTTGCCAATCTGACATTACATTTTCCGTATGTATACCGAAGAATGCAAAATTGACTGACATTTTCAGCGAAAGATATAAACGTGTCATAACTGATTGAAGGCATAATTATATTCATGTCTATAAAACGCACAATATTTATATAGAGGAAAGAAGCTTGATAATAATAAAAAATAGAAGAGAAATACATGTGAAATGATGGAGCGTAACCCCATCGATATTAGCGGCTGCCAGCCCAGTTGTCGCCGTAGTTCTTACTCCTTTCCCTTTCCTCGATAATTCCTCTTTGATCTGGTGCAGCAAGGTGGTCTTGCCTGTGCCCGCTTGGCGCCAAATCAACAGATTATGGCAGTCTAAGTAAACTTAAGCTCAGTATTATTCGTAACACTGCTATACTGAGTCAAACAAAACCTGGTAGAAAGTCGCGTCAGCTAACCTTTGAGCGACCTGTGACCGTCCAATCAATCGCGAGACGGCCGAACGGATTTGACTAATCAGGCAACGACTACTTGTTAGCGCTCAGCGGGACTTACAAAACGGTTTTTTGGATTTTCTCTTCCCTGGTCGCTGACACTGATCTAACCTTGTGGACTGGCCAATAAGAACACGGCTTACCAAATCGTGAAAGTTCACATTCGCACATACCGTTTGAACCTTTACCTCAAAAGCTCGAACGATTCTGAATGCTTTTTTTCCGCACGATAGCTCCCGAGTGATACACATGGAGGACGCAATGAGTAACCAATCGCTTAAATTAGCGTTTTTGTCATTATTCAAGGATGTCATCTTGCGGAAATATAATCTAATAGTAACCATGTCATTAGAAACCCCTAAGCGTACATACTGCAGGTCAAATATCTGTGTTTTATGCGGATTTTCGTTTGTTGATAGATCGATGTCAGCGACCAGGAAAGAGAAAATCCAAAAGCCGTTTTGTAAGTCCCGCCGAGCGCTAACAAGTAGTCGTGGCCTGATTGGTTAAATCCTTTCGGCCGTCTCGCGTTAGATTGGACGGTCATAGGTCGCTTAAAGGTTAGCTGACGCGACCTTCTACCAGGTTTTGTTAGTATAGCAGTGTTGGTCAGTATAGCAGTGTAACGAATAATACTTAGACTGCAGATTATGGCCACCGATGGTCCCTCTCACTGCCCTGTCTGCCATGGTTGTTTGTTTTTTTCCCATACACGTGGAAACTGACCAATGAGAGCCGTTTTGTGTTCCGAGATTTTCGGACAGGGTCGATGTTTACCGAAGGGCGGCCAGACGTTTGTTCAAAACGGAGGGTAGTGCTAATGCGAGGGTCAGTGGTCAAATATGAAATGCAGTTAGACAAACTGAACACGATGAGCAGAAGGCCAAAAGAATAGTCTACAAGCTCAACACATTGTTTTGAGAAAAACGTAAGGTTTGATTGAACGCACGTTAGAATAGTGGTATTTTATGTAATGATTGTAGCGGCAGAATTTCTTAAAAAATCCATTTCTTCACCGATTTCCTTCAAATTAGAAATATAAGGTACTCATAACATATAAAAACAATATACGGTAGCAAAAGTCTAGATTTTTATTTGTAAAAAGTATTGTCCAAACAGTGATTCGAACCCATGTGGTTGCAATTATTTAGTATATGGCTCGTTCCTCACGCCTGTGCTTTTGTCTTACCAGCTTGTCGACCCCCCAACCTTGGGTTATCTTCTCGTCGCGATCAGTCACTGATGATAGTGTCAACAGTGTGCAAAATAGCCACTGCCCCGCTAGCCAGGCGGGCCAGTAAATCTCCACAGTCACTGGCCTAACTGGCTAGTGAATTTTCATAGGGTCACTTTGTAAATATATCACTCTCTCCGACTTGTTAACTTATAATGCACTTTTTAATCATCCAAGATTATGGCCTGAAAATATTGTTTACCATATTAGCAGCTTAATGATGAAACCTTTGCCCGTGCCAACATTATCTTATTCTCATTTATTGAATTGTTGTTTATTCAGAAGTAATCTATTTTTGTAATCATTTGCTTAGTTTCTACATTCAAATTTCGGGCAAGTGAATTATGTGTAGGCCAGTAACTTTCAGGCATAGCTAGCCCGACAGGCTAGCAAAATCTGGAAACTATTTTGCACACTGGATGTCAACAAATCCAAACTGAATTACACAAGTTTATCCTTCGATATTTATAATTCGATTCGAATTCTTCACTGCAATCACCATCATATTGCGTCTATGAGGTTCAGAGCCTGTACCTGCTTGACAGTCTATTTCCATGTATCCTGGAGCACATCCACTCAGACAATGTCCAGTGATCTTTTCACATACTTCTGTGTTTTGTGAACAGTGACACTGTTTGTCACAGTCCTCACCAAACCAGCCGTCACTGCACACTGAAAACAAACACGATGAGAATCCATAACTAACATGAAAAATGTAATTGACAACTTATGAATAATATTGGAATCATATTTTAAATTTAACGATTAACAAAATTGTGGAAAGAGCACATTCCCTTCGGAGCAAAACAAAACCCCACAACACAATATGAGAAAACGGAATTATAATTCGCCATTAAAATGCGTATCTATCGTAACAACTGTTACATTATGAGCGCTTATTTGGAACCCCGTTGTCTGTGACGTCATGTACAGCAACAACTTTGCCCAGCTTTAGTTGAGATTCATGGGTGCTACATTTGATGCTGATTCGAATATTTGGTCTGTCGTCAATTGTCTCAGCAAATAACAAGCATCAATTACCAGGCTTAACTGGAAACTTTTCCCTTACTGAATTGCTGTTTAAAAAACGTTAAAAACGAAGCATTTCCATCAAACGCTCAAAGGTGAATGTATTTTTCCATCTCAAGGGATAAGTATTTCAATGTTAAGACATTGAAGGATCTTTTGCTGCTGTATAAATTCTTATATAGTTTTTATATTGCATTGTCCATAATATTTGTTTTATTTTAAAGTCACAAGCTAGTTTTTAATCTCTATCTGTGATAATCTAGATACTTTACTGTCCTTCGTCGACAGGTGTTTATAATCTAATTGCGTTTATTATGAATGTATAACTTTTAAAGTCACGATATGGCAGAAATATTGCCGACGTGACTATAAATTGTAACTCACTCACTCACCCAAAGGTGCATGTTAACCTACCAAATATCTGCACCTCGCACAGAGTGAGAACTTTGTTTGTCTGTATGGTGAGGTTGTTTCCTTTCAGTGCTTGTTGACATTTGACGTCAGCTGTAGCAGGAGGGTATGTGTCCATTGACCGCTGGAAGCAAAGCTGTCCACCAACATATATCTTCATACCATTGTTTCTAGATAGGTCTGCATTTCAAAAGAGGAATAGGTGCTGTTAAACACATGTGAAAATGTACAGCATGTTTCAGAATCCATGAACACTAAAACAAATCTTGTCTAGATGGCCACTGACAAGCATATGACAGCACTGGGTGGATACCCGTTAATAAGCATTACAAGGGACACACCAACGATATCTTATATTATTATGTTACTGTTCTACATAATAAAACATAACATGTTTTCGTACTAAAAACAGAAACAAGACATATATTGTGCTACCAATACTCACAGTCCTGACGTAGATACAGCTTGATCTGTTGTATCTTGTCTGTGTTTGAGTTGTCCAGGTACACAGTCCATGTTTGGTCTCCACTGTTGGTATATGTACATGTCAGTGGTTTACTAAAGAAGTCGGTGGTAGCTATGCCATCCACGGCGTACCTGGCCTCGAAACGGTGTAATTTATTCCCTGTCCCGTCAGTGGATTCACTGTATGTACTGCTCTGTGTGGCATTTCTTCCTAAAGCAATAATTCCTGAAGAAAGTGAAACCCATATACAAGGCAATGGTGGAAATAAACGGCGTTAGGTTCATTGTGTGATAACAGTTAATGTATGGCCGTGTACATTATTTCTTAATATACATTTGTGTATATGTGTATGTCCATTTGTGTATGGAAGGAAAACAATATTATACAATACATATTTGACATGTCGTGCCTTCATGTGAATAGGAGGTCGTTATCAATTGCTTTGTTTTTCTGAACTGTAATAGTAACTGCAAGAATACATTTCACGAAGTCAAAATATGTTTAATACGTTGTGTGTATATAATCATATATAACTCTTTTGTCTGTTTTCAACGATAGCACCTAAGGACTTCGCTAAGGACATGCAAAATGCATGTATTTTCAACTTTGATTAAACATAGAGTCTTCAACAACAGCTCGTTTTTTCGATTGTATTCTCGTTTCTTTAAAAAAAATGATATTTCGAGTATTTTCTTGTTACTTCCAGTATTTTCTCTTCCAGATTCGGGGCGATGGGGTAGTCTAGTGGTTAAAGCGTTGGCTCGTCACGCCGAAGGCCCGGGTTCGATTCCCCACATGGGCACAATGTGTTAAGCCCATTTCTGGTGTCCCTCGCAGTGATATTGCTGGAATATTGCTAAAAGCGGCGTAAAACTAAACTCAGTCAGTCTTCCAGATTCACTCAATCGTATCTGTGACGAAATGTATGGCAACTGATTCGGGCCATCGCCTCATCATAATGAAAAACCTATTCAATATGGCGACAACGCGACATGCAACAAAATGCAGAAGTATAAAACAGTGCAGAGGTCTGCATTACAATTTGAATACCACGAATACTCACGTCTCTGGCAGTAGGGACCGAACCATCCTTCCTGACATCTGTCTGGATCACCGACCTGGCTACAGGGAGTAGAGGGGAACACGGTACAGGCAGCTACAGTGTTACAGTGACATTCGGCATCTGGAGGTATGAAGTGAACATATTCATGTATTTTTTAACAATGCAGGTATATCTACTATTACAGAGGAAATGCCTACTCAGGGGATGTGTAAGGCCACACCATTCGAAGTATATTATTCCTTCTACGTTTTAAATAGTTTTAGTCGTAATATCTTTGTGAATGTTTAATCGTTGGCTGGAATAGCATACTAGTGACGGTCCGATTAATTGAAATAATCGAAGATTGACGCAGTGGCTAAACAACCAAGCAATCGATCATGTTTCCTCATCATCGAACATAAAGAATTTCGAGCACTTGTTTGCATTTACAAGATTTTCAACAAGGTTTTGTTTTTTCGGTTACATTTCATAAGCACTACAACCTCGTTCCAATTCATGATTGAATTTATCATACTAGTCAACCTTTGGAGATGTGAAATTTGCAAATGCATTTTGTGCAATTTGAAAAAAACTCCGAGAGAACATGTTTTTTCTTTATTTTTTGTGCAGTAACAAAGACAACCAGGACACGCTAACCAATAATTTTAGATGATTGATCGGTTGTAATGAACCAATCATCAATTATGAGATCTAGGGATCATGCTTGATATGTGTACCAAGTTTGATGAAGTTAGCATGTATAGTTTAGGAGATCTGCTCCGGACAAGAAGACATCTTCATAGCCACAGCCTAAGATATGTTTCCATGGAAACCACACAAAATCAAATTCATATCTGGGTCTAAACCCCAAAAGGCGCATCTAGGGATCATGCTTGATATGTGTACCAAGTTTGATGAAGTTAGCATGTATAGTTTAGGAGATCTGCTCCGGACAAGAAGACATCTTCATAGCCACAGCCTAAGATACGTTTCCATGGAAACCACACAAAATCAAATTCATATCTGGGTCTAAACCCCAGAAGGCACATCTAGGGATCATGCTTGATATGTGTACCAAGTTTGATGAAGTTAGCATGTATAGTTTAGGAGATCTGCTCCGGACAAGAAGACATCTTCATAGCCACAGCCTAAGATACGTTTCCATGGAAACCACAAAAAAATCAAATTCATATCTGGGTCTAAACCCCAAAAGGCACGTCTAGGGATCATGGTTGACATGTGTACCAAGTTTGGTTAACTATCACGAATAGTTTAGGAGACAGCTTTGGACAAAGTGTGACGGACGGACGGACGGACACACGGACGCACGGACGGACGGAACTCGTTTCTATATCCCCCGCAACTTCGTTGTTACGGGGGATAATAATGGGGGAATATGTACAAAACCACACGATTGTGTTCCACCAAACAAAATGTACTCACGTTGAAGACATTTGTCAGTGTGCCACCCTGCTGCACAACCTCCAGGACAGATGCCTGTGTCCTTGTCACAATAGGCAGCGTTGAGGCAGTTTCCACACTTGGAGATGCAGTTTCCATAGTAACCGTCTTGACACCCTTTCCATGTAATAAATCAGTTCAACTGTATCAAACATTTGACATTTCATACATTCAATGTGTCATGTGTATATATTTGTGAAATTTGTATATATTCATTTTGAGGCCATTTTTTTATAATAAAGTTTCATCTTATCTTATCTCATCTTATCTTATCATAATGTTTATAATATATGTTACACATGTCCAATACATCAGAGGTATTTACGATAAAGGCAAGAGTAAGTAACAAATTCCTAGCACATGCCAGATATGAACGTAAGTAACCGTTTATTGGAGCTGGCGAAAAGTATTGACAGCGTCTTTAATTACTGACGATGCTTGCCTAGATATATTATGATTTACATTCTATCTGCTACATTCTGGCTGACTGACCAACAATAATACACAGATTTACACGTTGTTCTTCGTGATGTTGACTGTGAACGTGTTGGCTTAAGATCATAGCAGCATCACCACTAACATAATGTTGCAATCACTGGGGTTCGAATCACTGTTTGGATAATAATAGTTTTAAATAAAAATCTAGATTTTTGCTACCGTATATTGCTTTTAATTTTATGAGTACCTTATTTTTCAAATTTGAACAAAATCGGTGAAGAAATGGATTTTTAAGAAAATTCTCCCGCTACACTCATTACATAAAATACACAAGGGGTGACACTCGCGATGCTAAAGGCCTGATGGGAAACCAGACAGCCCGACTATTTTAAATTTCATTCACTTTAAATATTATACATTCATTCTTCGTACCCCCAATTCTGACTTTAGTAGGATTTTTTGGTACTATGTTATGAAAACATGATGTTCCAAAATGAGTATATGCTATGTAAGAAAAAAAACACGTGCGTAGATTTGCCAATCTGACATTACATTTTCCGTATGTATACCGCAGAATGCAAAATTGACTGACATTTTCAGCGAAAGATATAAACGTGTTATAACTGATTGAAGGCATAAATATATTCATGTCTATATAACGCACAATATTTATATAGAGGAAAGAAGCTTGATAATAATAAAAAATAACAGAGAAATACATGTGAAATGACTGAGCGTAACCCCATCGATATTAGCGGCTGCCAGCCCAGTTGTCGCCGTAGTTCTTACTCCTTTCCCTTTCCTCGATAATTCCTCTTTGATCTGGTGCAGCAAGGTGGTCTTGCCTGTGCCCGCTTGGCGCCAAATCAACAGATTATGGCAGTCTAAGTAAACTTAAGCTCAGTATTATTCGTAACACTGCTATACTGAGTCAAACAAAACCTGGTAGAAGGTCGCGTCAGCTAACCTTTGAGCGACCTGTGACCGTCCAATCAATCGCGAGACGGCCGAACGGATTTGACTAATCAGGCAACGACTACTTGTTAGCGCTCGGCGGGACTTACAAAACGGCTTTTGGATTTTCTCTTCCCTGGTCGCTGACACTGATCTAACCTTGTGGACTGGCCAATAAGAACACGGCTTACCAAATCGCGAAAGTTCACATTCGCACATACCGTTTGAACCTTTACCTCAAAAGCTCGAACGATCAGGTCAAAGGTTAGCTGACGCGACCTTCTACCAGGTTTTGTTAGTAAAGCAGTGTTGGCCAGTATAGCAGTGTAACGAATAATACTGAGACTAAGTTTACTTAGACTGCAGATTATGGCCACCGATGGTCCCTCTCACTGCCCTGTCTGCCATGTTTGTTTGTTTTCTTCCCATACACGTGGAAATTGACCAATGAGAGCCGTTTTGTGTTCCGAGTCATTCCGAGATTTTCGGACAGGGTCGATGTTTACCGAAGGGCGGCCAGACGTTTGTTCAAAACGGAGGGTAGTGCTAATGCGAGGGTCAGTGGTCAAATATGAAATGCAGTTAGACAAACTGAATACGATGAGCAGAAGGCCAAAAAGAAATAGTCTACAAGCTCAACACATTGTTTTGAGAAAAACGTAAGGTTTGATTGAACGCACGTTAAAATAGTGGTATTTTATGTAATGAGTGTAGCGGGAGAATTTTCTTAAAAAATCCATTTCTTCACCGATTTCCTTCAAATTAGAAATATAAGGTACTCATAACATATAAAAACAATATACGGTAGCAAAAGTCTAGATTTTTATTTTTAAAAAGTATTGTCCAAACAGTGATTCGAACCCATGTGGTTGCAATTATTTAGTATATGGCTCGTTCCTCACGCCTGTGCTTTTGTCTTACCAGCTTGTCGACCCCCCGAACTTGGGTTATCTTTTCGTCGCGATCAGTCACTGATAATAGTGTCAACAGAATGCAAAATAGCCACTGCCCCGCTAGCCAGGCGGGCCAGTAAATCTCAACAGTCACTGGCCCAACTGGCTAGTGAATTTTCGTAGGGTCACTTTGTAAATATATCACTCTCTCCGACTTGTTAACTTAAAATGCACTAATCATCCAAGATTATGGCCTGAAAATATTGTTTACCATATTAGCAGCTTAATGATGAAACCTTTGCCCGTGCCAACATTATCTTATTCTCATTTACTGAATTGTTGTTTATTCAGAAGTAATCTATTTTTGTAATCATTTGCTTAGTTTCTACATTCAAATTTCGGGCAAGTGAATTATGTGTAGGCCAGTTACTTTCAGGCATAGCTAGCCCGACAGGCTAGCAAAATCTGGAAACTATTTTGCACACTGGATGTCAACAAATCCAAATTGAATTACACAAGTTTATCCTTCGATATTTATAATTCGATTCGAATTCTTCACAGCAATCACCATCATATTGCGTCTATGAGGTTCAGAGCCTGTACCTGTTTGACAGTCTATTCCCATGTATCCTGGAGCACATCCACTCAGACAATGTCCAGTGATCTTTTCACATACTTCTGTGTTTTGTGAACAGTGACACTGTTTGTCACAGTCCTCACCAAACCAGCCGTCACTGCACACTGAAAACAAACACGATGAGAATCCATAACTAACATGAAAAATGTAATTGACAACTTATGAATAATATTGGAATCATATTTTAAATTTAACGATTAACAAAATTGTGGAAAGAGCACATTCCCTTCGGAGCAAACAAAACCCCACAACACAATATGAGAAAACGGAATTATAATTCGCCATTAAAATGCGTATCTATCATAACAACTGTTACATTATGAGCGCTTATTTGGAACCCCGTTGTCTGTGACGTCATGTACAGCAACAACTTTGCCCAGCTTTAGTTGAGATTCATGGGTGCTACATTTGATGCTGATTCGAATATTTGGTCTGTCGTCAATTGTCTCAGTAAATAACAAGCATCAATTACCAGACTTAACTGGAAACCTTTCCCTTACTGAATTGCTGTTTGAAAAACGTTAAAAACGAAGCATTTCCATCAAACGCTCAAAGGTGAATGTATTTTTCCATCTCAAGGGATAAGTATTTCAATGTTAAGACATTGAAGGATCTTTTACTGCTGTATAAATTCTTATATAGTTTTTATGTTGCATTGTCCATAACATTTGTTTGATTTTAAAGTCACAAGCTAGTTTTTAATCTCTATCTGTGATAATCTAGATACTTTACTGTCCTTCGTCGACAGGTGTTTTATAATCTAATTATGCTTATTATGAATGTATAACTTTTAAAGTCACGATATGGCAGAAATATTGCCGACGTGACTATAAATTGTAACTCACTCACTCACCCAAAGGTGCATGTTAACCTACCAAATATCTGCACCTCGCAATAGTGAGAACTTTGTTTGTCTGTATGGTGAGGTTGTTTCCTTTCAGTGCTTGTTGACATTTGACGTCAGCTGTAGCAGGAGGGTATGTGTCCGTTGACCACTTGAAGCAAAGCTGTCCACCAACATATATCTTCATACCATTGTTTCTAGATAGGTCTGCATTTCAAAAGAGGAATAGGTGCTGTTAAACACATGTGAAAATGTACAGTATGTTTCAGAATCCATGAACACTAAAACAAATCTTGTCTAGATGGCCACTGACAAGCATATGACAGCACTGGGTGGATACCCGTTAATAAGCATTACAAGGGACACACCAACGATATCTTATATTATTATGTTACTGTTCTACATAATAAAACATAACATGTTTTCGTACTAAAAACAGAAACAAGACATATATTGTGCTACCAATACTCACAGTCCTGACGTAGATACAGCTTGACGTGTTGTATCTTGTCTGTGTTTGAGTTGTCCAGGTACACAGTCCATGTTTGGTATCCATCGTTGGTACATGAACATGTCAGTGGTTTACTATAGAAGTCAGTGGTAGTTCTGCCATCCACGGCGTACCTGGCCTCGAAACGGTGTAATGTATATCCTGTCCCGCCAGTCGATTCACTGTATGTACTGCTCTGTGTGGCATTTCTTCCTAAAGCAATATTTCCTGAAGAAAGTGAAACCCATATACAAGGCAATGGTGGAAATAAACGGCGTTAGGTTCATTGAGAGATAACAGTTAATGTATAGCCGTGTGCATTATTTCTTAATATACATTTGTGTATATGTGTATGTCCATTTGTGTATGGAAGGAAAACAATATTATACAATACATATTTGACATGTCGTGCCTTCATGTGAATAGGAGGTCGTTATCAATTGCTTTGTTTTTCTGAACTGTAATAGTAACTGCAAGAATACATTTCACGAAGTCAAAATATGTTTAATACGTTGTGTGTATATAATCATATATAACTCTTTTGTCTGTTTTCAACGATAGCATGATGCAAAATGCATGTATTTTCAACTTTGATTAAACGTAGAGTCTTCAACAACAGCTCGTTTTTCGATTATATTCTCGTTTCTTTTAAAAAAATGATATTTCGAGTATTTTCTTGTTACTTCGAGTATTTTCTCTTCCAGATTCACTCAATCGTATCTGTGGCGAAATGTATGGCAACTGATTCGGGCCATCGCCTCATCATAATGAAAAACCCATTCAATATGGCGACAACGCGAAATGCAACAAAATGCAGAAGTATAAAACAGTGCAGAGGTCGGCATTACAAATTGCATACCATGAATACTCACGTTTCTGGCAGTAGGGACCGAACCATCCGTCCTGACATCCGTCCTGGCTACATGGAGTAGAGGGGAACACGGCGCAGGCAGCTGCAGTGTTACAGTGACACTGGCATCTGGAGGTATGAAGTGAACAAATTCATGTGTTTTTAACAATGCAGGTATATCTACTATTACAGAGGAAATGCCCACTCGGGGGATGTGTAAAAGGCCACACCATTCGCGTAGTATATTATTCCTTCTACGTTTTAAATAGTTTTTAGTCGTAATATATTTGTGAATTTTTAATCGCTGGCTGGAATAGCATACTAGTGATGGTCCGATTAATTGAAATAATCGTAGATTGACGCAGTTACTAAACAACCAAGCAATCGTTCATGTTTCCTCATCATCGAACACAAAGAATTTCGAGCACTTGTTTGCATTTACAAGATTTTCAACAAGGTTTTGTCTTGTCTGTTACATTTCATAAGCACTACAACCTCGTTGCAATTCATGATTGAATTTATCATACTAGTCAACCTTTAGAGATGTGAAATTTGCAAATGCATTTTGTGCAATTTGACAAAAATCCGAGAGAACATGTTTTTTCTTTATTTTTTGTGCAGTAAGAAAGACAACCAGGACACGCCAACCAATTATTTTAGATGATTGATCGGTTGTAATGAACCAATCATCAATTATGAGATTTAACTAATTCCCAACACTATAGCATACAGTCGCCAATCGCAGAGAAAGCTGAAGTATTGTACGTCCCCATGGTCCCAAGTGGCCAAACTGGTTGCTAGTGATCTATAGCCTAACTTTATATTGTGTTGGGGAACAATTAGTCATTATATACTCTCCCCAAAAAGAAACGCATATATGAATTTCAACTGTATTTTTATGTTTATTTTGAAACATCTTGTAGGCTTTATGAGTCAATGAAATATAGCGAAATTGCACACTGGGAATGCAGAATTATCCGTCTTTGTCACCAACTCGAGGAAAGTCAGTTTGAGTGTCACATGGAGACGTGTGGTGGCGCTGAAGTCAATACCTCGTGTGACCACCGTGGGCATCCAGAACTGCACGGCATCGCCTCAGCATCGAATGAATAAGTCTCAGAATCTCGTGTAGCCCAATCGCAGCCCACTCTGTCTGTAGTGCCTGTGCGAGTTGCTGAAGTGTCTGGGGTTGAGGGTTATGGCGTCGCACCCGTCTGTCCAGGGTATCCCACAGATGTTCGATCGGGTTTAAGTCCGTTGATCTTGAGGGCCAAGGGAGCACATTGATGTTGTGGTTCTGGAGGAAGTCTCTAGTGTGACGTGCTGTGTGGGGCCTGGCATTGTCCCGTTGAAACAACTCCCTCTGGCGATCAATGATTGGAAGGAGGTGTGGGCGTAGGATTTCGCCACAGTACCGTTGAGCTGTCAGGTTGCCCTGGATCATCACCAAATCACTTCTCCTACGGCAGGTGATCTCTCCCCACATCATAACACTTACCCGGCCGAATTTGTCTCCCTGGGGAACGCAAGCGTCGGCGAAACGTTCACGCGTCTACGTCTGTACACCTGCATTCTTCCATCGCTTCGTTCCAATAGAAATCGTGTTTCATCACTGAACCAGATTCTACGCTAATTCGGTAGGTTGCAGGCCTGAACGTTGGTGCACCCACAAATATTTGAAGGAAACGGTTACTGGGAAGATTTCTACGTTCAAACTGTCGTCATTTAGTAACTGAGAAGGTGAGTTCTTTTCAATTTGCCCATACTAGCCAAACTTACAAAATACACGAAATTTGTTACCCTGAACCGGGAAACTATTGTAAAGATTTTTCCAGCCATATGGTTCTAGCGCTGCGCTCGGGACAACACACCACTCGTCCGGGGCTAGATGACGTCACGATATCTATAAATACGAGCGCTAACCACGCAACTTCCTCTTTTCAATTTTGAAGCTCGGGGATGCGGGATTAATCTGAAGGCAGATGATCCTCACCCCTTATGTTTAGCATGCCGACACTTCTCTCGGTCATCGCCTTGTGCTGTGTGCAAGGATTGGACACCGGAGTAGTGGACCCAGTTGGAGAGGCGAGTTCGGAAGGCAATGCGGAAACGGGAGCTTCGTTCCCAGCGACTTTACGAACACCGTCTCTCCAACGGTCCTTCTCCGACGTGGTGGCGGGTGTAGGGGGTCTCAGGGCCACCTCCCCGCTGCTCGGGACCTCTGGATTCGTCCCGGACGTCACTGACGTCCCCGACTTACCCGTGACCGACCTCTCCCCTGGGATTGAGGACGGCCCAGATAGGGTCTTGAGTCGACGGCCCAGATAGAACCCGAACATCACTCACGGGACCGGCCGGGAATGAGGTCGGGTTGTCCCCCAGCGGGACACAGAGCCTTCTGTCTCGTGGGCCGACCTGGCTATGGGCCAGGTCCCACCCGGCCCTGCCACTTCAGTTCCAGGGGACCCACCCCCAGGTTGTTAGATGAGACACAGGTGCGGCGATCGTGCAGGCCCCGACAGTCCCGGTAGGTTCGTCCCAAGGACTCAGACCCGGATGACTCCTCGTCCGTGGACTCGAGCATCCTGTACGAGGAGTCTCACCCTAGGGTGGGACCCTCCTCTACAGTCCAGGGCAGTCGAGAAGGACCCACCAGGTCTAACCTTACTGTCCCTAGGGGTCCATCCACCTCGGTGCGACCGGACGGCAAAACCTTTGGGAACTTGGAGCCCCACGCAGGAGGCCAAGCCTCTCCTGACTCCTGCGCAGGTGAGTAGGGGGAGCGATGCGCCTGTCTCTCCCTACCCTTCTCTAGGGACCTGGATGAGGTATGGACGGAGCTGAATGACCTGATCCCAGGATCGGGAAATTCAGACCTGCCGGAGGACGGCAGGTTCATGAAAACGGGTGAAGTGCCCACCCATAAATCCCCTCGGACTTACAGTCCGGACACATACTCTTGCTTTGAACCAGACGGGTCGGAGCCATTCTCCCTGGCAGCTCCCCCCGTGCCCTCCCTCTCACCCAGCAAAATTGCTGATGTCTTTGGAAAACCTGAGGAGCTGGGAGGAGATGTGCCGCCACTCTTTTGTGGTGATCTCACATCTCTTTTTACTCCTTGGTGGGACCTTCCTGGCCCTGCCTAAGGACTCGGGGGCGAACACACCTCGCTTGCAAGCGTGGATGACGTCGGCGCTGACTGCGTTGTCTCATCTGTCACACTTGCAAGGGCGCCTCATGGCAGGTCTCCTGCTAACGAGGCGAGACGCGTCCTTGGCTGCTTGCTCCTATGTCGAGCAGACAAGGGCGCAGTTTAGGTGTGCCCCCATTGAGAGTCGGGTCTCCCTCACAGAATGCAGCAGCTGGCAGACAGGCAGAAGGACGACGCGCTGTGCACCCGTCAGCCGCCGTCTCTTTCCGTGTTCAAGTTCGGCGGACCTAAGGGTCCAGGGCCGGCAGGGAAAGCCGCAGGCCGTTCCTGACTCTCTCCCCCCACGAGACAGGTCGTCGGAGCTCCACAGGGAGCCTCCGATACCGGTGTCCGCATGGGACCTGGTACCCACTCAGGCCTCCGTATCAGGGGCAGAATTCCCTATAGCTGGCAGGCTGTCACACTTCCTACCAGCATGGGAAAAGGAGACACTCGACCCTTGGGTACATTCCGTACTACAGGTCGGATATTGCATTCAGTTTCACTGCGTACCGTACCCGCCACTGACATGCCACCCTTCTCTGTCTGCCCTCCCCTGGGACAAAAATCAATTGTCGTT